GTCAATTTTAACTCGCTATAATCAATCCCTTTCTATTGGATCCATTTCGTTGTAATGTTGATTTTTAATCTAATTTTAGTTTTTGATTTATTTTAACTCTAATGTAAACATAATTCAATTTTTATTTCACTGCATACTCGGTAAAAGTTGACGTCACGAAAACAAAGGTGATATTTCATTCGAATATAAAGCATATCTGAAGTATTCTTGTTATTTCATTCGCACACAGTAAATTTTTATAATAAATCAGATATTATGAAGCGAAAAAAAATTTTAATCAAAAGCATTTGCGCACTTGTTCATCCGATTGCTAAATATTATCCCTATCACCTTATAAATAATCTAATTTCCAAATATAGAGCAAGATAAAAACTTGAAAGTAACTTATGGTATACTAATTAACTCCAGCAAACATCCAAATCAAACGAAGCTCAGCGCCATAAAAACACGGTATCATGTGTATATCGTATATCTACACCTTTTGAGATTAAAACCAGTATCGGCGTTAATAAGTTTGAGCTGTCAAACATTTGATCGGACGGATGGTGTAGAAAAAAAAGTTGTTTACATATTATGAACGCGCAACGTCGTAACTCTACCGTGTGCTAATTTGCATTTAGATAGCGTCATAGAGAAAGTCAGTTCCTTAAAAATTTTACGGACACAAATGTTTATGCGTCACCTCGTAAAGAGGATGCTTGGGTTCTGTTGTTTCGATTCAGATTTCCAATAGTTACACGTTTTAATTCGCTACAAGAATTGAATTTTTTTCAATGATTTTAACATGTTTGAAGTTGATTTTTCACTAATACATTGATAATATCAGTATATGCGTGACTAGATTTCAATAATTGTATTCGGAGTTAAGAAAAGTCATTCCAACTATTTCGTAAAAATAATTCTCGTTAAAAATGCAATATCGGCATGCCAACGAAAAAAGACCGATGACTATTTTCAACATCGAAGTATCGTTATATATTAGCGATATTTCATTAGTCGAGAGTGCGTATACAACACATTCACACTGACAACCGCAATATGAAAAGAATCACATCATTATATCTTTCGAGTCGGAAAATCACGCTCATTTTCGTTAAGTCGTAATAAACAAAAGAGTAGAAGAAGGCCGACCTACATTGAGAGAGCTTACGCAACACCTTTTTGTTTGCTGTGCTCTGTCGTGGCGCTTCGTTCGCGCGAATAATTCAATCAGAAAATTGTCAAGCCGTGTTTCAGTCTGCCGTGAATACGCTCCCGGGTGATTTTCGACTCCAGCCTAATTAAACTTTCGTGCATGCACGAGCGACGGATGCTTACTTCTTCACTTTTATTATTATTACTTTTTAATACATACCTGTCAGTTTATTAATGAATTTTTAGTTAACAGCTGTTTTATTTTATTTATGTATTTACTACGCGTGGATAATTTGAAAAAGTCTGAACGGATCTTAAATGAAATCATAGCTTTTTTATGAACTGTACACATGTTGAAAAAATTCTACAAATTTCATGTGATTATTAATATAATTTTATAAAATTATTGAAAGACAAGTGGAAACAAATGTCAAGATTTTGTGAAATATTCGATCAAATCTCCACAAATAATGCCCTAATCTAAAGAAACCTAAAGTTCCCGAATCTGTAAGTGAAAATCGAATGTATAATTCTCAATTTGTATTATCGATTTAATCATATGTTCCGCGTAATTGAATATCAATGCCGTCATAAAACTCGTTATATGTTCAATATTTCAAAAAGTACGAAAAGTTTCTTTAAGCTCAGCAAACTTTGTCGCCAAGTCGAAAAAAAAAAACAGTTCATCGGTACGTGCGTGTGTAACAGACAGACAAATAACTGAAAAAAGTGTCGACTCTGCAACTATAAGCGACCTCATCTCCAACTCGATCTTCGTCTAATATGTAATTTTCCAATGACACTCTAACTTGCTGTTATAGGATATGTAAGTTTTCAGACTTTACTCTCCTATCGTTCATCGGCAAAAATACCTTTGCACAATTACTCGACTCAATGACTAGCGCAACAAAAATAAAGTTTGATGTTCTAAATCCACAGTGACACGAGATGTCTTTCTCGAGAATATTTTCCACATACAAAATCTGTACATATAAATTATAAATAACTGATAAGCTGTGGAGAAACCTTGGAGTAATACATATAGCATTCGTAATGCATTTGTCAATATTAATCACAATTGAGTGGAAACATTGAGCATTTCATGCACCCCCACTAAACAGCACTTTATTTTACATCTATTGATTCATTCAGTGTGATCCCTTTTTACCGTAGTCGAGAGCGAGACAAATATACTCTTCTTCCATCTACCGCTTTATCATTCATTTCTTTCAGTGATTTTCACTTCACTTCCTCGCATTGTACGACTATTACATTTACCTACATTTCGCCCTTTTTACTCAATGCCACTCTACGTATTCCTATCACGTTTGCTATTTCGTTTATCAATTCGCGTTATAAATATTAAAGATTGTTCGCCTATATGTACCTAAAAATTTCGTCAATTGATACATTGAATGGAATTACCAGCTGATAATTGAAGAGTGTGAGATAAAATATTTTTAAGGATACTATTTTCATGTTACGATGGAATTTGCAAATTATATAGTAAAACAAAAATTTTGAGTGGTCCATTTTATAATCAGTTCATTGTGCCAATACACTCTTATTATCAGTGAATACAAGCTTATAGTCATATATCTTCGAAATTACTACACGATCATGCAATATATGTTAGGGCAATTTCCTACTATAACTTATCAAAATTAGAATAATTCATTTTTACTCATGGTTTATTATCATTGTAAAATGTTTGATTATTTTAATACAATAAAAAGCAACGAAAAATTAAACTTTTGTTCCTCGCGGAGTGTAATATTGTCCTCTCCACAAAACAAAAATATAGGAAGTGATCTTGACATAATTATCTATAAGCCCATTGAAACAAACTCCTTTTTGTAAATAATTACAAGCCCAGCTGTAAATACGAATCAAAAGGCTTATTTAATGTTCAGTAGATTAATCGGTGCTAGTATACATCATCCATACGTCTGTCTGCACGCATACGTGTACATATCACTGTGCACAAAGCTTGCGCCACGAGCTAACGGCATAATCTCCCTCTCGTCCGCACATATATACACACAAGCTCATATACACTGCTTTTATTTCTTATACGCAAGCGCGCGAGCGAACGAGAGGCTTTTTTCCGACTCTACCTAGTTCTCTTTAGGAAGCGCATCTCGGCACTTAAAAGTTCAACGCCGAAATTTCTCTGGCTCTGAGTTTTTCCTCTCTATTATGCGCGAACAGGGCAGAACGATGCAAAAAAGGAAAAAAAATTAAAATTCGTTTAAGTCGCTCCCGACAAAAGTAATTATTTCTAAAACCGTCGAATTTAGCGCTCCGCAAAGTTTTTACATAATTTTATGTTCTTAATTGCATGTTTTGAGGATAAGGATAATTCGCTGTTGAGAAATGAGTTTTACATCTTGTAGATTTTCTTAGGTAACCGAATTTACATTGAATTGTCGTGTTATATCAGTGCTTGTGATTTGATTTTCTAGAACGACAATTCAAGTTCGTATCTAAATTAGATTGTAGCAGCAATGCAATATTTGGCGACGTCGTACATTTCGATCTCATTTTTCTTCGTGTATACCAAGTTTTACACGATAATCGAAAATTTATCATGGACACATATTTTGCAATATGTTAAAATGAAAATGCAGATGAAATTTGACGTTATATTTGCCAGATAAAACGCTTTTTTGGAACGTTTCATTGCAAGAGAAATTTCGGCAAGACAAGATAAAAACAAATCGGATTGCGAAGAAAAGTGATGTTATGGCTCGGTCGGTTTTGTACACACAGTAGGCAAGCGGCTACAAAGTCTGAACGCAGTCGGTAGCACGGATAGAAAGCTCAAGCGCCGTCTATCGATGGCCTCGACAAGCGCAACCACCAACAACTGCACTACCATCATCAGCACAGCTGCAGCCGACGAAGAGGATCACGTCACTTCCAACTACATCAACGAGTGGATCAGCGCCTACGCTTTTATCGCACGTGAGTATTCATGACAACGCGATGAAGGAAAGGGGTTGTTTATTCTACATTACCGACATATCGATTCGAGGTCGCTGAACCACGAGGATTATTGATAGCTGTTTGGACGGTTGGCTATTAGGGTCATGGGAATTTTACTTTTCTTTCTGTTCAAATGACAATCTTTCGTGACCGATGAAATTTTTATTTTCCTCGAAATGTCACTTGACAAGATGTAACGAGATAATCTGACATACATAAGTTTGTCGTGAGCTTAATGCCGGAATTTATGGTAGAAAGATAAATTACGCTCTGCCAAATTAAGTAAAAGTCTATATAGAAGTCATTAAGTAGCTTTGAAAACTTTCAAGTATTTCATGCATTTGTTGAACAAAGATGTCAAGGTCAGTATCGCAGTTATATCTTATAAGGCTAAAGCGAGAAATGGAGTGTGCGACAAGAAACGATATTGTTTTGCCTTTAGTGTTTGGTTTACTTGCTTGGATTTGACGTGAATTATAATATTGAACTTTTTGCATTTAGAATCTCTGTTAGTTGAAAGTGTTTGCCCATATTTCCGCTACTTTATTTCACGTTCTTATTTATTTATTTTTTTAATTTTTCATAGTAGAATAGTTTTAATAAATTTGCATGTATTTTCTAATTGTGTAGATTTGATACTAACCATATTTAATGAGTGTTTAAGCAATTCGACCCGCATTTGTTTTTATAAAATCATCCAATATCCATTTTTATCGATTAAATATATCTGAGGTGACGACTCTCAACTTTTATCTAGAACATGTATAGTTGAGTAATCAATAATGGAATAGAAACATCATTATTTATAGTTATCGCTATTTTAATGATCAAAATAGCTAGAAATAATATTCAAACTTTAAGAACAATAATGATAAAAGTTTTTGCTCGACTATTCACAGACAATCAAGAAAAGTTCTACCTATACGTGATTGTATCAGTAGCACTTGGAGTTCTATTACTGCTGAGTTTGGTGATCGGTCGGCTCTTGTTGAGTCGTCACCGGGCAAAACGCGACGCCAAGTTTCACGCGAACAACGAGACATTACCCAACGGCTTCACCGATGACATCTCAGAGATCGACGCGGATATCGATCTCACCACTCCTGTGCCAGTTCCTATGCAAGATACTAGGTATCCCATAATTTTTTGGACCCTATACTTTAAAGCTTTTCTTAATTTGTTTTTGAAAACCGGTATTAAAAGATTTCTAATATTTATTGAAATGACGTACTTCAACGAAGTTTATACTATTTATTACAATTGATGTTGGTTTTAATTGGATCACTATGATCTTTGTGGTAAGAAGCGTAATGCTTAATTAAAAGTACTTTATGATTCTATAAAAGCTCAGAAAGCTTTTACTTTTATAACGCGGTGGTAAAGTATAGCGCGTACGTCTGACCTATCTTAGATACCATCAACTTGTGCGCAAGTGGCAATCTCAACGTTATATCAGTCTACACGTAATAACTGAAACTATGATTCATAGAAAGACATATACTGGATTATTTCATTGAAAAGGTGGATTTATTTTTCACTCTTTCGTTTTTTTAAAACTTAAAAAATAAATTAAACTTTATAAGCATTCCAGAACAGATATATTTTTCTATGATTTATCAACACTTTGATGGTGAAATATACTAAGCTACATAAATTTTTTTATTATGGCTTAAAAACAAATCATTTATACAATGTCGCACTTAAAACCAACTTTCTATTTCATAGATTGCCAGAGACACAGCTAGCCGAGCGTCTGCACGGAGAGCGTTACTATACCGACACAAGGATACCATTAGCACCAAATACTGGCACACTAATAACGACACATACTATGGGTACCGGAGTACGCGTGGATTTGGGTAATTATATGGTTGGCACAGATAGTTTACACACAATTCTAAGAGCTGAAAGTTCACGAACTGGACTGACAGGCAACAAGACCAGTTATTACTATGGCTGACAGGAAGAAGGGGTCGTGTCCCGTGAAGCTGGCCGACCCCTAAGTCCAGTACCCGAGGTCACCTCACGAAAGTACTGTTTTTGAATTATGTATAACTCAAAATATTGTACATATGGCGCGTCTGTTGCTAATAGCGTGTGAAAGCGGAAGATAATAATTTGACGTCATGATACGATGGGAGAATTTGTTTACTCCTTTGATCGTACTGTTACAACAAAGAACTTTGATTTTAAGAACATCAATTTTAGGCATATCATTTTTTCTCGGTATTAATCAATAAATTTTATAGGTTGAAATTAAATAGATTTTTAGAAAAATTCTTGTTTGGTATTTTGTTTTTAGATGAAAAATATTAATGTTTTGGTAAACTTAGATTTTCATCGAACTACTTGATCAAAGAAGTTTATACGTTTCGAATTTTAGTTAATGAGACGGTACGATCTAAAATGCAGACAATCTTATTTTTATGATTAACGAGTCAAAAAGCGGTTAAAACATTGTTAACAAATCAGTTTGGATTGGCAAGGATCATCAGGGTAGTAAAGGAAAATTAGAAATGCGATGTAAAAAATTTTGAAATAAAGACTTTTGCAGTTATTGGAAAAGGAAGATGCGAGCCGTGAAGTGTGTTTGTATTTAGTACATAGTTATTGCCTGGACTGACACTTCGTTTCCCTCGGCGATTTTTGTAAATCAGTGGAAAACTGTTCGAGAATACTAGTAGAGCTGTAAAAAAAGCTTAATACATAATTTCTATAACATCTATGAAAGTTATTCTTCGACATAGGAGGCAGTTATAAAAATTATATATATATATATATATATATATATATATATATATATATATATATATATATATATATATATATATCTGTAAATAATGTACGATGTAAGTAAAATTCCTGGGCATATATTATTCTGATGGCATTTAGTGAAACTAATATTGAGTTTGAGTTTTCTTTTCATACTCTTGATTTATTTCTTTGTGCATACATACAGTTAGTCAATTTATATTGCCACAATTTACTAATAATTTTATCACTAGCCAATGTAAAGAGATTCAATTTACGGCTGTGAAATTGTATAATCGAAACGATAATTTATCAAGTTATACTCATGATATTAAATGTATTACACGAAAATCGTTAATGTAAGTGAATTAATTTTTACAATTTCAACTATTTATTGCATACGATTTGAAAAATGACGGGACACAATATTTTTGTTTTTACACAATTAATAACTAACTGTTCACACGTTTCGATTATACATTCCATTATTTTAAATGTAATCATAAAAGAATTTCATAACTCTGCGTGTATTGAACATTTTATTTTCAAAAATATGCCATTTTTCCCTGTTTTACAAGAATGAACTTGACATACAATAACTTTTTTATACTTTTTTAATTGAATAAATCTTTAAACAAACTTTAACATTGTACGTTGCGTTATATTTTAGTTAAATTTTTAACTGTGAGTGCGCGTCACAAACTAAGAATGTATGGGAAAGACTCGTACCAAAGATAACTAGGATCAATTATAATGGAATGAATAATAATAGACCTATTCTTGTTGGTGAATTTTCAGCGGAGTGCCTGATAATTCGAAGACCCTCGGTATACCAAGTGCACGTTTATATTATGTTGAAATTGCAGATATCCTTCATTAAAATATTTGTTACGAAATACTCCATGAAACAGAATTTAGAGACTCATAGTTAATAAAGAGTTTAATTGCTGTCAAAGTATTTCGGATTATCATTGAAAAAATATTTTCTGAGTGATGAAAGCGTTTACGTATGAGATTTAGTCTATGACAGTTTGCCATTAACATGGTTGTAAATTGTTGGTAGAAATATTAAAAATAAACACGGTTGTTGTCTGAATTCTACGTGCACCTTTTATACCCGATCTTCGTATCAAATCTCATAACCTTTTATAAAAAGATCTACGTAATTAAACTAAAATAATAAGATTGACGAGATAAATCATGTCAATATAGGTTTCTATGTAAGATGACAAGAATTGTAAATATGTCTGTAAAAAAACATCAAGAACCTATTAAAATTTATAATTAATCTAAATGTTAAGACATGACTTTCACAATACAATTCACCTTCTTTGCGATTAGAATTTTCGAGCGAGCGAAATTTATGAATTTATCAAGTATGTTTGCATTACTTTTTTTAATTTGTCATAATTTGTTACATTGTCATTGATAATTTAATTCTGAAAATATAAAAACAATTAATTTAAAGTAAATTAGTTTACAGTGTAAAATTGAAAAAACTCGAAATCATTACCAACTTGAACGACGATATAAGTTTTATTTGATTTTTATTATTATTAATTATTATATTACATTTTTTGTAATTTTTTTCAAATTATCCTTAGTTACAAAATCTTTACTCATTCGTAGCTTTTAATTTCATCACTATTGCTATGGCAAGTTATAAACAAAAATCTATTTTTATATAAAAGTAACGCAATCAACAATTGTTATGGATGAACGTAACATCAAGATGAAAGCATATATCATTGTACGCTCACCTTGGTAAGTAAAGAACTTTGTTCTTGATTCATTCGAAATGAATTAGTGCTGTTTCCTCCAAAGGAAATATATCATGCTGAGCCGTTTGATTGCGCTTCCGTTACTGTTAATCATTGCTGATATAAGAATCGATATCAAATTTGAATCCGTGTTGTTTGCTAAATTTGAGTATCATACTGCCAAATGTACATTATTGATAAATGTAACGATTATTTATTTTATACAATTTTATTTTCTTGTATTACTTTTCAATTAATTGTAAAGTCTTGTAAGTAAAACGCGATAAAATGTTTAAAGAAATGTATCTCGTTTCGATGGAAAATAAATTTTTCATAAAATATTAATTATCGTTATTGTTCCTCGTCATCATATCCTCGCATTCATGAATGTGTATTTATAATTGCAATAATTTTTAGCTCTATACCTTTGAAATTCATATTTGAAAAATATAAAATAAATATAAACGAAGTTGATCATTTGAAAAAAGTAATTAATTTTTGCATTCCATTCCAATAAAAATATTTATATTAAAAACAATCAGCTTACACCTTATGAACCAGAAAAGTACAAACAGTCAAAGGACATCAACATTATTTTTCAATTTTTTTTATACTGTACAGTGTTGTAGTATTGATACTCATTGCAACTTATAGCGGTCATTTATAAAATTAAAACATTACCATGTATCCCAATTGAGTAGTTGCACTTTAGACAGTATGATTTATGTATAGTAATTATTACAAGCACCTGTAATCTATAACTCAAATACACTATTAGAGCGAAGTCACGACAAACGTTCTTCATTGGTTGTATATTTATACATGTGTATAGAGGTCTATTTGCGCCCGTTTCTCACGTCCACCTTTACGAACCGTTAAAGGTACTCCAAATTCAATCGTTTTTTATAAAAAGTGTGCTCAGATAAGCAAGCATTTAGTCGATTCTGCAATTTAATGTACACATCGCCTAATTTTTTATTTTATTGTTGCACAAATTTCATAAAAATGAAAACTTTGTATATTTTTACAAGAATATCTAAACATCTTTTCATAGATTAGAAACAAGAAACTTAAATAATATATTATATATTTTATATTTTCAATTCATTAAGGAGTGTTTCAACGTCCTTCAACTATTAGGAAAGTTAAAGAAAGAAAATGAGCAATAAAAGTGGATTTTAAATATAAAAAATCATTTTATAATAACTGATCATATCTTTTGTCTAATAAAATAATGTTTTCGTTTATTAATCAAATTATATAATATGGCCTTTGATTTACGCCTCAGTCTACAAATTTGAATATTTCAAACTCTAATTAATAGACAGCATCCTAAGAGCACAATAACTCATTGAACAGCCGTGAGGATCAATCTATCAAATGCAGTTGATTCGAAAGGCCATAGTGTCATCTCTTCATCTTACTCTCACTAACTCAGTGCAACGTTTATCCAACTACTACGATTGATGCGCGCATGTTTTGACCATGAGGTATAGATTCTCTATAGTTGTAATTGTAATTGAATGGTAGCAGAATTAACAGATATTATTAGGTATATTATTAATTCTGCTTAATTGTATTTGTTAGATAAAGTTTTTAAAACTATTTTATTGAATTTTACGAGTGATAGGTTATGTTGTTGTGAATTACGGATAGCTAAATTTATTATCGCACAGACTAATATGATAGCGATTTTACGTATTAATTTTACGGTTTGTTCATCATACACATTAATTTTCAGATTCATTCTTCTACGCGTATCATAATTTATTCATTCAAACGTACTATTTATTTCTGAAGCTGAATAAAATCTTAAAAACAGTTCAAATATTGTTCTGAAAAGCGGCAATTACCACGGCAAAACCTGGTAAAACCAAATGTGTAAACTTATTTCCCTCATATATATATTGTTCCCATCTGGCCAATGTAACCATTGACGGGGTGACATCTAATTTTATTTTAGTGGTAAGGTGTCGTTCTTCTCTGAGTAAGTCAATTTTCGTCACGTTAACATCCTCTCACGTCTCGTAGTAAGTTTGTTGAAACTTTTTCCATTCTTACAACATACGGGGAGACTCCGATCTTATTACGTATTCTTTTCTCTTCGTTGAGCGGCAGGTGTTGTGTAGTATGGGTGAAGTTTGCGGTAATTGGGTAATTCTCGCTGATGGAAGAAACTGTTCGTTTCGGATCGCCTTTCCTTTAAGTAAGTGGATACTCTCGTAAAGCTAGGAAATAAATAAATAAATATAATTTGATTATTACAAACTAACAATGGTTAAGAGAAAATAATAATCAATACTGCGATAAATAACACAAAAAAATTAAGTAACAAGTTTTTGTTTTTTTCGAAATTCTAATGAACTTATTGAAAACGTCAATAACAAAAGATTTCAATTCTCGAAAAAACGGTCACGCTGAATAAAAGGAAAAAAAAACCAAAATTCATTTGAAGACCACATAACTACATCCTTTAGTGCATCGTTTGTAATTTGTCCCAAATTGTCATGACAATTGGAATCGATTTTTCAAGGCACAAGTCTTCCCGATAGAAAGTAACAGTCAAATTGAAAGCTCAAGCACGTACGCGTAGGCTCATTTTTTCTCTTTCTTTGTCGTATTTTACGGTTTCATTCTTCTTGTCGCAGCTTTAGGGCGTAACAAAATAGTCTTAGTTAATTTATTTTAGTTAAATGCTTGTATGATTATTGATTTATTGTTCACGGTAGGATAAAATAGAATAAAATTTATTGTTTGTTTTGTAGAATAAATAAAGTCAGAAAATATTTTAATAAATCATTTGCAAGGCCATTTGCCGAGATTTAATTATATAAAGTAATTGTTTGGCTCACCGAAGTAATTGACAATGGCATCGTCGGACAATATCGATCGTTTTGGCAACAGTGGACGATTGCCTTAAATTTCATTCCAACATTCCATGTTCCAAATGAAAAAATTTCACAATATAGAATATTTGCAGTACAATAAAATTTATAGCTCGTGTATTTCTTACATATATTACTGATAAAAATTATGATGAGATTACTATACTTTTGCACAGATTTTCATTCATTAATTTCATACTTAGTTAGTTCGCATAAATTATATTAATTTGCCTAGTGCAATTACTATATTTCAATACTGATCAAAAACAACGTATTTTATATATAAATATGGAAACTAACATATGTATTGATTTTAAATATAATGAGCATGGGGATTTTTATGTGA